TTGCAATCGGCTATTCCTAAATTCATGTGAGAGTCGAGCGGGTGTCTCCGAAGGCAGGGTTCCTTCGCGCTGCTGCTACGCAAAGCAGTTGAAATAAAGGGGTGGGTGGAGGCAAGCTAACTCCTTTTGCCGTCGATCTGATACCCTTGTCGCAGGGGAAAGTGAACAGCACTCCCACTCGACGGCACAAAGAATACAAGAACAACGGTGTTTTAATACAAGGTAGACAGATGTGCAGTTTGTGGATTGACCTTGCTGCTCGCGTTTTTGCCCGAATTTTGCCAGACAGCTGGGAGTAGTTGCGATAAGCGGACTAAGCTACACTTCGATTTTATGCAGCTCTCGTAAAGATGGTAAATGCGCGACGCTTTTTAGCAGTCGCATATAGAATGCATGAATTGGGACCAGAGTAGGAGGCCCGGAGCGTCTCTCGGTATGCAATGATTTAGAAGGAGGTTCCCTTTTACGCCTTCGTAGGGCAGTTTGATTCTTAGGTTGCCACTATTCAAAGCTTTACCTAAGTATATCATGAAGCACAAGTGTAAGCGAAACACAAAGAACTAGTCTTTGTCATGAATATCTTCGTATCCACAGGCCTTGGGCCCTACATTCGTACCCTTGAGCCCCTATTACTCATGAGGCCCACGTTTAAATGTACTATCCAAATTCCAAATGGGAAACAGTAACCAGAAGAAAGTTATTCCATAGACACTGCAGCTAGCCCAACCTGTCAATGATGCTCTTCAATGCGAAAGAGCCTTGAAGGGCAGAAATCCTCCCCGACCCTATACATTCATCATCTCTATAGAATGCAGCAACCTGCCCCGGCGCAAGGCCCACATCTGGCTCCTCCAGCAGCAGTTCCGCCTCTTCAATGGGACTTGAATTTCCTGAGTGGCCCCTTGAGACACAAAGAACCTTGAAGTTGTGCTTCGCTACTCCGTGGAAGCCCGCACTGTGCCTCACCTGCACTACAAACCCTGCTCCACCCTTGGAGGATCCCGTAAGAAAGCTTTCAGCAGGCCTTTCCATAGGCAGTGCAGTGTTTGTCTTTGCAGCAGCCACTGCACTTGCTGCAACCGCTGCCAAAGTAGGACCTTCCTCTCGCAAGCAGCCCGGTTGAAGAGTCGCAGAAGCATCGAAGCCCGCTGGGGCCTTTCCGTGAAACCACCTAATGTTGTCCACTCGTAGGCACGTTCTAAGCTGTCTGAGCTTCAGAGCCAAGGCTGCTGCCTTGTCACCATTTGCCGCTGCCCTCAACAAGGGAGCTCCCAACGGCTCCGAGTAATTCCCAGGTTCTGTTGCCAAGGCTCGCAGGCGGTCTTCTGCTGCCGCCTCTTCCTCCTTACTTACTACAAAAAGCGCATTTGCTTCGGGGAGCTTGCCAACGACGCTCCAAGGACCTGAAAGCTTTGGAGGACCTCCAGAGGCTCCGTGGCAACGGCGGCAGAGGCGGGGATCGAGGAGAGGCACAACACCCTTCTGCTGTCCCACAGTGAAGCCCCAAAGGCCCTTGTGCCGGCCAATAGAAACGCCTGTAGGAAAATGAATCACTGGTCCCTCCTCCTCTCCAAGTAGGTGCATAAGGAACTGACTTACAGGTAGAGGACCCAAGAAGCAAAGGCCTTGGCTGTCCGGCCTCTGAGATGACGGTAGACCCCAGCTTACCGCAATCTTCCGCACCTGCATTAAACGTGTACCCCAAACCAGTGGCTGCATACGCGGTCAGGACAGTGCTTATCAGTGCCTGCAAAGGATGCTCAGTACGGGGTTTTACGCTTACCTGGGTTTTCAGGAGAGCACCCACAGGGAAAAGCAAACGCGATAACTGGAGTGAAGACAGACCAGACAGGAAGTACGATTGGTCTTTCGTCAAGTCCACTCCCCTCAACAAGCGAGGACAACCTGACCAGCACAGGAAACGCATATACTAGCCTCACTACCAACTGTTTACAAACATGACGATGCCATCCAATTACCAAAGCATTACAGCAGTTCCTTTGTGAAGCCACAGGCTTTTGCTCCAAAATCAATGCAACACGCAGCAGCTCAAGATTTCGGTGCTACCCAGTAAAGTAGCAACAACTGCAGGAGGCAGCATATCTTGAAAGAGAAGTCGAAATACAGACATCTTGCCACTACAGCCGACACAAAAATGTCCTACCCTCGTCAATTAAGATCCTTGCGTAGTGTCCCGAGGCGATTCTGTAGTCAACTGCGTCCAATGTCTCTGCAAAAGCCCCAAATTTCACTGAGGAGTTGCAGCTCCAGTCCGGATTAAGTGTGAGGCCCGCCCTGTGAGGCATCGCAGCTCGCATAATCCCAAGGTGCGAGATAACCTTTTATTCGTGATAAGGCTCAAACCTCTAGTGCATGAGCCCAGGGTTAATGTGCGATGTTCGCAACCTCAGAGGGCCTACCGGGCCCCTTCTAAAAAGCCGGAGATGACTCTATCCCAGTACTGCTGTTGCATGGGTACAACCTCCAGAGAAAGCCCCGCTGCTGCTGCTACGGCAGCTGCTGCTTTTGCATCCTCTCGCCATGGGCAAGCCGCTGCCGCCGTCGCAGACGCAGCAGCAATATCAAGCTTTTCCTGCTGATACCTACCCTGCAGTTGTTCCTTCATCTGAGCCGCTTCAGGGGCCCAAACCTTTAGAAAAATAGGCTTGGGCCTGAAGCCCCACTCACGCATCAAAAGCAGAGAAACTGCAGAGTCTACTCCACCCGACACAAGAACATGAACTTCAGCCCCAGCACCGTCACTAAGAGGAAGAGAAACACGGCTTTTAGCCGCTAACTTAGCTATTTCCTTGGAGCGCGGTATGGAGGGAAGTGCATGCTGTGGGATCGGGTTGCCCCACTGGTCCCCATGAGGCTCTTGGCGATATCCAGATAAAGCATCATTTGCGGGTCGTGGCGGCCTCAGTGACGTTCCTTTTGGTACTTTAGCCTGCGTTCTGCCTGTTGTGATGTCTTGTTTGTTTGGAGCAGTACCTTGTTCCCCATGCGCATTCTGAGGCAGCTCGGCAGGAGGTGGAAGGACCTCGTTGCAAAAGTATCGCTGTAGCAGGTCTTGTGTGGAGCCCATAAGAATGTGCATAGCCGTCCGAAAGCCCCTCACCCTCGAGTCCGGTAGCAAATTCAGTAAACTGCTAAACTGCAGAAGCTTAGTGGAGCCTAGGGCGCTCAGGGCAAACACCCCGCAGGGAGCACTCCCACTGAGGCTTCTAGAGAGCAGTTGTAGTAAACCCCCAACAACAAGCGAATCACTCTCCCCATGGACGTGCACTTTTGCTCCCTGCTTTGCTGCGACGCAGCACAGCCGGCTGTTGCTCGTGATGCTGGCGGCCAAGCTCCTCTGTTGTGGCCTCACGGGGTAATGAAGTGAAACTTTCACTGCGGCCACCGCTGCACAACCGGTGACGGGCCTCCATATATCACTAAGAACTAAATCTGAGGTGCTTGGACACACCGATGCTTCGTCAACTCCTGCTGCTGAGCCCGATTCAAGCGCCTCTGATGAGGCACTTGGGCCGTGCGCAGACTGCTTGATGCGCGTGAGCGGCCGCTTACCCGTGAAGCTTAGGAAATCGCTGCCATTGGTTTCCTGAAATGCCAGGTGCATCAAAATTTTTATACGGGATTCTGCTGTGGGGGCCCCCCGGAAGACCCTACAGAGGGTGAGCCATCTGCGAGCCACCTCAAAAAAGGCGGAACCCATCACAGAACCATCTGGGCTAGCACATTCATCTGCTGTTTGTGATGCTGCTGATGGTGGTTCGGGAGGACGCCCTGCCTCAACTTGTTTCAAGTAAAGTTGTCTGTCACATTTGTGGTCGATAGACGGACAGAATGGGCCCAACGGTCTGCTGAAACATCCTACAATGGTCCTGGTAAGGAGATTGGCTCGTGGATGGAGAAGAAATGAAACGCGGGGCATAAGACTCCCGCCCAAAGGTCTGCCCGTCCTGCATATCTTTACTTGCAGCTGAAGAGGCCGTCTTGGCTGCCAGACACGGGCCGGCTGTACGTGGCAGCATGAGAGAATTGCAGAATCGCTTACTTCTAGACACTGGTGGAATAGTGCAGATAGGACCAGAAAGAACAGCTCCAGAAAAGCGCGCATCTCAGAGCGTTCTAAAATATCTAGCAAAACCTTTAAATCTCGCGGGGGATGTACACGGCATCCTTACTTCGCGACGGGATGCACGCTGGAGTTGGGATACTGCCCGTAGGCGGGATAAGGCGGAATTCTCGTTTGTGAGCATGCCTGGTGTAACAATTCGTCTTCTCGCCTCGTGTTGTAGCTGCTTGGACAGGTCTCATCAGTGAACTACTGCTGCTTGTCTTGCATAAAAGTGCTGCTTGCGTCGCTGCTCCTCCCTCTGTTGCCACAATAACAGTCGGTGACTTTGCCATAATAAAGCCTTGATGAGCCGCTAGTAAACAATTTGGTCGCGAAGTCTTTACGGAAAGCCGTGTTTTGGAGACCACAGATGAGGCTCGAGTGACCCGGAAGATTTACAGCAGCACGGTTTGCTTCTAGATAAATGAGACTGTGGAAACTTATTGGTCGTTTAAACATATTAAAGTAAGTAGCTATTTAATTTTAACTTTTTTTCGGGCCTCCCTTAGGCTGAAGGCCCTTGATGATATAAGGACCGGGGGCCCCCACGTTGTCTGCGGCGCCCGCAACATGCTTACTTGGTAGTGAGGAAGAGTGTTTTATGATGAAAGCAGTTGCGGATCTTTGATGACGAAAAGCAGTTATCCGAAGGCCAGAGGAATATTGTCGAGGCTTGGGGGCTCCTTTTAGTAGGGCCCCTTCCTAGCAGCCGAAAAACTCTACACAGCCGACACTCACTCGAAAGGGCGGCAAGAGCCTGCCAGAGCTTACAGAAGTAGTGAGAAAAGTCATAATATCAACATCAATGAAACACGCATTAGCCGCAGCACTACCAAGACCAGAAATACGATGAACTGCCACTTTTTCGCCGGCAATGCCCAGGGAGTCCCACACAGAGCAGCGGCCTGCCCTGCGTGCCCTCCTCCGATGGCTACTTCTGCTGCTTTTTCTCCATGAAGGATTGCACCCGGCCTGTGGACACTCAGGGGCCACGAGAGCTTCCTTTTTAGTGCCGCGCAGTCGTGAGAGTGGGCCTGCGGCAGGTTGTTCGAGAACAGCCAGCAGTAACCGCAGCCGTAGCAATACGTCACGCAGCGCTGCATCATATTTAACAGGGCCAGAAGATGACAAATCGGATTGTCCTAGGTGCGTATGGCTGAACCACAGAGTGGAGAGCCCGCCTATAGTTGTCGGCTGGGAGGAGGCCTCTGGGAACTCCAGGGAAAGCGATGCTTGCTGCGTCCCGCTAAATCTTGGAATGGCAAGAGCGGCTAATGCAGCGTTTCAGCTACGAAGAAACACAACCAAAGTCCCAGTTCTCGATGTTGTTCCCGTGGAAGTAGAAGTAGCGCCGGAGACGAGGCTGGCTTTGGAGCTACCCCCATGCTCCCACAAACGACACATATTCCTCCCTTTATGTCTACTTGGATTTCCTCGCGATTTACAGAGCAAAACGAATCCTTACTTACAGTGTCAAGTGGAGAAGCCCACAGAAAATTGCGCGCCGGTCCGCAGTGGGGAGATTCACGAAGTATCGGCGAATTGCTCACCCCTTAGCTCAGTCAGCAGTTCAGCTCAACAGCCATTTCTGGAGGCCCTGAAGGAGTCTGTCTGTAAGGCTCTCAAATGGGGAGGGAACTTGTACGAGGGGATTCCCATGCAGCTTGCTGCCCGCGTGACTGCGCCGAAGAAGGCCCAACTGGCACCGCATTCACCCATTGAAGAATCTAATAAGTCTGCCGGACTGTCAGCAAATAGCAGGGAATCGAGTGGTCTAGAGCAATGCCCATTCCCGACGGTGTGGCCGCTGAGTTCTGATAGAGAAGCTCAAAGGGTTCTTAGGAAGCACTATAAACCCTTACTCGACCTTTACCGCCGTCTACCGCACTCTGCATCTTGTGCCAGTGCGTGGAAGAGAGCCAGTGACAACCCTAAAAACAACGATGTCGGGAGTAGGAACTGCAGCAGCAATGTGGGGGCCCAGTGGATCACTGCCTTGCGTATCCTGCGTCTACCTAGGGGTGCTCAGTTGTCACTGCAGCTTCAACTGGAGCCCCCTCTACCCTCTTTTCCATTTTCTTCCGACAAGAGTGTGCCTCTTCCGCCTCCCGTAGTTAACATGTCTGCTTGGCAGGCTCATGCACACAGCAACCAGGACGCTTCCTCACCGTACCAGCTAGTGTCGTTATACAAATTCTTCCGCGTAAGCTCACCTAGGGCCCTTGCTGAGCTGCTAAGGGCCCTTTGGGGGCCTAGAGGAGTACTAGGTAGGGCCTACGTAGCAGAAGAGGGTATTAATGCCCAGTTGGCGGTCCCTTCTTCAGTGTTTGCGTCTATCATCACCGAGCTGCAGCAGATACCTGGCCTGGAAGATGGTCTTCAGGTAACTCCTGATTGCCTTATCCCCTTCTACAAATATTGGAGCTCCCCACCATTTGACACACTTCATATCCGTCCTCGCCATCAGGTGCTGAGGGATGGTTTTGACTGCCCGCTAGACTGGTCAGACTGCGGAGAGGAGGTCGAGCCTGAGGTTTGGCATCGTAAGCTTGTGGCCTTGTTGCAGGAGCAACAACTACAGAAGCAGCGAACACCGAAAGTCGTACTTTTGGATATGCGGAATGCGAGCGAGTACGCGGTCGGCCATTTCAAGGGATCGCAATGTGTAGATACGCTCACCTTCGCGGATTCATTTACTTCTGGCGGTCCGTTGGAGGAGGCCCTGGCCAGGGTGGGGATTCAGCTTCCTTCCAGGGAGGCTACATCTGTCTCTAGTAAAGGCAGTTGTAGCAGGAAGGACGTGGAGATAATGATGTACTGCACAGGTGGTATCCGCTGTGTGAAGGCGGGAGCTTTCGTTAAGCAAATTCTTGGTTTTCCTAGGGTAACACGACTCAAAGGAGGTATCCTAGCATACAAAAATTTCATTGAGAGCTTCAAGAAAAGGCCTAATAGGGGCGAAGGGATCCTGCTTGGTGCAGAAGAGGAAGGGTCATACGCGTCTGAAAACCTTACTGCTGCTAATGCCAATGAGTGTGCAACAGATGAAGGCGGTCTCAGCGGTAACGAAACTTTGCAGCAGCGCGGTGTCTCAGACCCGAGTGATGCCGCAGTGGTGGGCTTGCATGATCCTGCACCGGAGAGTTTGTTCGTGGGGAGTAATTACGTATTCGATCATAGGATGTGCCAGCAGATTACACCGGATTTGTTGACTCATTGCACGATCTGTTCAGGACCCTCGGGTCGCCTAGTGAATTGCAGCAACAGACGGTGCGGTCGGCGTGTTGTGCTGTGCTCCTCGTGCTGCTCCTCAATTGGGGTCTTCTGTTCGTCAGCATGTGCCCGGGAAGGAGCGGAGGATGGTAAAAGAGAAGTTCATGCACAGACTCAGAGGCGGATGCAAGTCAGGCATACATACCAAAAATTGCTGCAGCAGAGGCGTTTATGGGCGATGAGGGCTCAGCAGCTTTTGGCTGCTCTAAAATACACTGCTGCCGCCGATTCGGTGTCCGGTAAGATGCTCATGTGTTTTTAGCGGCATAATGTTGGAGGATTCAGTAGCTGTTCTCGCGTTCCGTGCCCTGCGCCGCGCTTTAACACAGCGTACGATGTCGCGGAAGGGTTGGGCGTATGCTGCAGCACTATAAATACTCGTGTGTATATGCAGACGCTTCGTTTTTGAAGCATACACCATCCGAGGAGTCGTCCCATAAGGAAGCTCATGTTGGAGATTGTGGGCGTGCCGGCAATGCTATATCTCAAGACTGCTGGCATTGGTCTCACAGCGTTGCAGCTGCTGCATCTTCCCGCTCAGGACAGGAAACGCTACTAGAAGAAGGGCGACGGAGGGCAAAAGACTTAACTGGCTTGCAACATGAGGTCCAGCAGTTCTGGTCGGGGCCTCTGCACTCGCGCATCCTCTCAGCAATCAGCAAACTCAAGAGGCCTCGATCAATCCTTGAAATAGGCGCCTTCGTTGGCATCTCTAGTAGGCCATTTCGTAGTCGAACCATGCTATGATGCTTTCTAATACTCCGGAGCTTCTGTGGGACACTCGTATAGCATGTTTTACAGTGATGTCCGTCTCTTCTTGACACATCTTTTCTCAAAGCTGCAAGTGGTGCGGCCAGTGCCATTTCATTTCGTACATTCTTTTTGCTTGCCTGCAGCCCTAGCTCTGGCTGAGGGCCTTGTTTGTGAGGAGGAGGGTGAAGATGGGTGTTTTGGTATTTTGGCCATAGAGAAAGACCCGCGAGCAGCAACAGCAGCCCGCCGGCTGGTGAGCTCTTCCCCATGGGGCCGATTTATTACTCTGATGGAGGTGGACGCAATGCAGTGGCTGCAGTCTCTCCCCAAGGTGTTGAAGAGCCCGCCTGTTTGGGGAAACGCATCAGAATCCACCAGGTATGAGGAAACATCAAGCAGCAGGCTGCCAAATGGTGGCTTTGACCTTATCTATCTCGACGCTGAAAAGAAAAGATACCTAGAGTACATTTCGGCTATACTAAATCCACAGCGTCCTCTGCTTGCCCTGACTGGAGTCCTCGTGATAGACAACACTTTATGGCTCAAAGGTCAGGATGGAAAAAGAATCGCGTGGTGGGAGAACCACCTGACACAGGGGGAATCTGCACGGGCCAGAAGATATGCAAAAGTTGCAGAGTGTATGCAGACCCTTCGGGAAACTCTGCGCAACGATGCTCGTATTTCTCATGTAAGCGGTATACGTAAAGAAGATATGCCGGATGACAGAGCAAACGTCATCCACCCAGGTAGCGTGCAAGGGCATGCGTGGCGTGATGCGTTCCATGCATGGCAGTGCAGCTTTCAGTATTGGCTGTACTTCGTTCTTGGCCAGTTTGTAGATTGAATGGTATCTTACGCGTTTCGGTGTTTGCAGGTTTTACTTCCGGTTGGGGATGGTTTGTCACTCGTCACTTGGGCTAACCAACCGCCACCCCCTGGGCCTTAGCCTTAGCGCTGCTCACACATCAGCAGCCCATGCAGAGCGTGATCTATAGCTCCGCTGGCATTCATGAGTGTGATCTAGCACAGTTTCATGGGGTTTTAAGTACAGAGGGTTTTTTTCCAAGGTTGGCTGGTTTCTGCAGCCACATTGACAAGCCGATACATTTTTGAAAGTTGGACCTATGTGTTTCATGCTTTGCATGCGTCTTTTGCTTGCAAGCTGCCACATCCTTCAGCCAAACTCATGTTCACTTCACAAACGAGTCGTCGATCGCCGCAGAAAGCGAATACTCGTTTTAAGCTCAAGAGATAGGCGCGTCCCCGTAGGGACAGCAAAATAGATAAAAGCGTATAGAACGATCTTTGTGCTCATTGCCTACTTGTATAGCTTAGCTACCATGCCGGAACTTTCGGATTGTGACAGTAGCATCGCCTGCATTTGCTTCCAGTGGCCGGTATTATGTTATCTTGAAATAACCAGGTCCTGCAATTTGCTTCCTGGGACGGAATTTATCTTGACGGAGCCAATTCTACGCAGAAGATACTTGGTACTCCTGTTGAGTCAAGCCAAGCCCAAGGGCTTTCAGCCACTTGTCTCGCCTCTGAGGGCCACATTTTTCTCCATTTATTTGCACTAACGGGGATGTGTCGCGATCTGAGTCGCATTTAGTGGGTTGTATCCGTTATTCGCAGGATGCTGCTCACCAGCAAGCTGTTCATGCTTTCAGGTGTACGAACAGCCTATGGTCAGGGCGCTGACGCTCTGGTATGCCTGTGCTATGCAAATAGCACTTGGCGTCCCCTTGGAAGGAAAAATAAAAAAACAGCAGCAGACGGAGATCTCTCAATGAGTGGCCGTTGACGATGAAAGTGGCATTTTTGCTTGATTGCCGAAGAAGTGCAAAAGGCGATGGGCACTTCACTGCAAAGATTTTGCAGTATTGGTGTGCAGCCCTAGAGGTAGCAACACTTATCGAAATACTGCGAAGCTTTTCTTGAATTAACTGAAACATGCTCAGGATCTTGCTGTATTCGGGTCAACTCGCTGCCCACACATTTCAATTGCGACTCTTTGTGCGTCTGTTTCTGCAGTGTGCCTCCACTTAAGTTCTGTCTATCATGATTTTCTCAGTTGAAGCAGACTTGAAGGTTTGGCTGTCGTTTAAAGACACCTTCAGTCTTGAGACTCTCCGCGGCGTCCTTCCCCAGCTAATAACAACAAGCATTTCATTCGATAGCAGCGAAACAACAGCAGAACACGGGAGTGGCATTGGTTTTCTACGAAACTTCATAGGTGCTGATGCAGTACACAAAATTATTAGCAACCATGATTTTCGATGTGTCTGCTTTCCAGACTGCTTCACTGCATCACCAAAGATTCCGACTAAGCTTGTGCTTGTTTCGTCTAACCTCGAGGAATGGGTGCCTGACTTTGTTGCTCTACAAGACTGCGTTTCAACAAATGGGCTTGAAGCTCGAATTTTCACCTCTGATCTTCTAAGCATTGATTGCATCGAAGGTGAGTGGAAATGCTGAACAGGAACACGATATGACTCCCTGTGAGTGGCTCGCTCTCTTCAAGTTATTCCAGTGTCCTCTGCTGATCGAAGAGAGCTCGTCTGCCCCATTGCTAAGGTAAAGCTGCCATGCTTCGCTTGGACAGAGTAGTTGCCGCAACCGCCTATTCAGATATTGACGGGGCTCGGCATTAGTGGGACTGCGAAGCAGGTGCCCTTGCTCCAAGCTGAATTTCTCCAGATATTTCGCGCGTTGGCCATCATCAAAGAGCCCGTGAAACTGACTGTCAAAGGATCGGTGGGTTTGGTTCACGCGGCTGCCAATGTTTTGGAAAAGAGACTAAGAGAGCGCAGACCCTTGTAGTTGGAAGTCTAACGCGATTATCCCTTCGCGAGACGCCCCATCAACGGCCCTGGCCTTGCATTGCCTTTGACGTGCGTTCGCGAGCTAGTTGGAGTGCTATACCTCAGCAAGCCGTAGGCGCCGCGTTCACTGCAGCAGCATCGGTGAAGGCCACAGTAGGTTTCCTTGACGCAGATTTGTGGAGCGTCTATGCTGGTCACCGACAATGCTGAGGGGAGCGATGAAAACGCAACAGTTGCTGGACTAGCTACAGCCCTCAGTGAAAAGGCAAGACCATTCTCATCAGCTTGTATCTTCACAAGAGAATGTACGAGCTCCAGGCAGAAGTGCTCATTCTTAGAGCTCCCTTGGATCCCCAGACATTCGAAGGCCTGTAGGAATAACTCAGAGTGTATACCAATGGGATGCATTGACCTTATCACGTTACATCCTTCAGGCCTGACGAGGTTGGCATACGTCATTTGTTTGTGGCCCATCCGCAGTCCGGATGCACATCTGCCGAGCTTCTAATACAGGTAGCACAAATTCCGTCGTCTGCAGAATGTTAATCCCTTCACAAAGAAGTGCATAGGGGCTCCTGCCACGTGAATACTTCATATATCCAGTATTAAAGCCATTGGAATCATCGGAAGTTCAAGACACCAACGGTTACGAGAGTGCCCGAGAAGCTTTACGGTCGCTTGGCTTCCTAGAGCTGTACAACCCACTTCTTTACTCCTGTCGGATGGGTACGTTTGCCCAAACTTGTTCCCCAATACCAATCATTAATTCAATATGTACAGATGGGACGCTGGCAGGAATTAGCACTCAGCAAGCAAATCACTTTGCCGAGGCGCTTCATGGAAACACTCAGAGACGACGGCGTGCAGTCGCCACAAAGCAGTAAGCTACGAATAACAGAATCCGTGCCATCAAGGAAACACAAAAATAAATAAATTTGACCCGCAGAGCACAAGCAGCCCCCCGCGTTGCTCACAAACCATCTGTGCTTGACGCCAACCGAACAGGAAGTGCAGACAATAGTCCAGAAAGACCCACGAAAAGGCAAACTCTGGGTGCCTCTCTCCCCACGAAGCAGCGCTGCGTCTCAGAAAATTTAATCCAGCAGCCGAACAAGCCCCACAAACTGTGCAGCCTTTTCCGAAGTGTATTTGACAACCCGTGAGGTGCGGCTCAAGGGGGAAATGAACGTGGCAATAAGCAGTAACGCTCCCATAGCCGTTATGTTCGTCCCCCCTTGATTCAATATGCTCATTGGTGGTTTCATGGGCAAACAAGTTGAATGCACGAAACGATGAAGCTGCGGCAGTTCACATGAAATTTCCCCTTTGCAATGCCTGGCACGCCACGCAGCGGGCAAAGAGTTACAGCCTCAGGTAATGGCGCTTGACTCGATGAGATGTGTTGTTTTATTTCTATTTTTGAGATAGTCGTCCCGGCATACTGCAACCTAATCTCCGTGGATCCACGTGCTAAACAGCCACAGAACAGTATTTGCAGAGCCATAGTTGGAAGTACTACCTATGTGACTTCATCGCCATTTCGCTGTGGCACTGCAAAGACTGTTCTGTGGCTGTTTGGCACGTTGATCCGAGGAAACCAGGTTGCAGTATGCCGGGACCAGTCAATTTGTGGCTTCCGAGCTCGTATGCGAAATGTGCAGGACCATTGCCTTTGGAAGCGATATAATGCACGTACAGGAGTAGTTGGCCGCTGGCAGCTTTTGCGACATTGAATAAAAGCAGGTCTTTCTGTGGAGTTCCCCTCATATGAATCTTAGTTGGAAGTATTACCTATGCGACTTCGTCGCCATTTTGCTAAGACTCATATGAGGGGAACTCCACAGAAATATCTGCTTTTATTCAACGTCTCATAAGTTACCAGCACCCAACTACTCCTATACGTGCATTATATCGCTTCCAAAGGCAATGGTCCTGCACATTTCGCATACGAGCTCGGAAGCCACAAACTGACTCCCCATTTCAGCATTCCAGTGCCCCCTTGAGGTATGCTGCCTCTCAGTGGCAGTGAATCTTGGGACAGCTGCCTCCATTAACTACATAAATAAGATTTATCCCTTGGTGGGAAGGACATCACTCTGGTGAACTTGCTCATAAGGGTATTGCCTTGTGGAGCAAGCACACTGCTGCTCGGCGAGCACTCTGTCCACCTCATATGGTTAAACTGGCCACAATAAAAGAGACGACAAAACTGCAGAACTACTGCAGAGATATTTGGGGCCTTGCGGAAGGGCGAAACACAAGAAACGCAGTGGCAAAAGTCCCCCATTGCTCCATTGCGAAAGCGAACAGTAACTCCAGAAGGATACGACAGCCCCCACTAAAGTGCTGCGGTTTAAGAACAAAAGAGGTCTTCGATAAAATATTGCATTTCAGTGTTTTTTGCTGCTCTTTCGAATCTCAAAAATAACGGTTGTCCAATGTCAGGATGAATATCCAGTGACAGCTCAACGACCCAGCAAATTCCCGCAAGTCCCAGAAGAAGATGCCTCATTGGTCACCAGAAATGGACACAACTCAAAATTTTTGCTGCATATAACAGGAGTGCTTCGTTCCAGCCCTGTACCCTCGTCTCAGTGTTTCATAGAGCTGCAACTGCCACCTTTGTCTCTGCACTAGCTGTTTCGTGGGCAGCTTGGAAAATTCTCGCACCCTCTGCGAAATTACACCCACCTTTGTTTTCCAAACCGTAATTGCACCAGCCTCATATCAATTTTAAAAAGGATAACATATTATTTAATAAAAGGAATCCCCAGGTAGTTGTGGGGCGAGTGAGCGGGGCTTGGTTCACTCATGCATGTTTCTCTCCCCGCACCCTCTGGGCATTCAAGGCTGGTGAAAGGGCTGGATTGAAGCATCCACGCTCTTCAGTCTTCTTAATCCTGAAGACTGCAACAAATAATATACTTCTATTGCAGCGATGATGATCGATGCCATATCTACGGTAGCGTTCGACGTGGGAGCTGCCCCTCATCCGCTTCCGCGCTCCGCAGATTGCGGAAGATGCAGCGGCCACAGCGCAGACCGAGCTTGGCCAGATACCTGAGCTGCGTGCTAATACTTCTGGTTTTCTCGCCCACAATGCTACATATTGTTCGTAGCC